CGGAGCCCGGCTATCAGTTGCTCCCTGAAGATCATGATCTCGTCAGGACCGTGCTCCCATGGAAAGTTGCCGGTGGGAAGGCTATATGAGTATTCCTTAGGGAGGYKGAACCTCTGTATGAGGTCCTGAAGCCTCTCCGAAGTCATTATAGAAGGGCCGAACTGATCTGGCTCCCGATCTCGGTGGGAGGTGAACGCCAGATGACCCGAAGCCACCCATACTTCGGATGGCTGAGCAGCAGAGGAGCCACCCCGAGCCGAAGTACCCACCTCGGGCTCGTCGATAAGGCTGTCTACACTAGACGACATAGCGAACTAAAGGGAAGAAACAAATTGAAAAGGGGAAGGAAGATCGGGAGGACTCACCAAAAGAAACGCAACCAGACTGGGAGAACAGGACGAATTGGAAGACCCGAGCTAAGAGACCTCCGACGCGAGCTCAAACGCTAATGATGAGAGCTTTGTGGCGAAGAAAATGGCCAAGGGTCCCCCTATTTATAGCCACAGCTGCGGGTTCCTCGAGGCGAAAATGGTTTAGTGCGTTTTTTACGTCTGCGAAGTCCAAATCACGTGAGATCCGCGCATAATTCAGATGCGACTCGAGTCTTTTTTGATTAAACCGGGCGCTAGACCGGTCCAGCTGAACGGAGCATGCGACAAATGCGCATGAATACTAACGCCAAATCCACCCGGCATGTCATGACCTCCCCGCGCTGGGTCATCGCCGCCAGCACAGGGAGTGGGGGGCAATTGATGGAGGGTGATTTGGCCCGACCTCGCAGCACAGGTACACGTGGGCGTGACCTTGCTCAAACAGTGACTCAGCATGACAGCGCAACAGTCGTGGCCACAACTCGGAGGGAAATTCCTACCGAGCTCAGCTCGGCAACTGGGCGGGTACCCGCACCTCCTCCCCGGGGTTAAGGCACTTCGGGGGGTCCCGAGTTCGGGGCACCCTGACCTCTCTTAAGGCCCGATCTCCCCCCAATGGACCTCGGGCCACTCCTAGACAGGAACGCACCGATCCATCTCCGGACACCCCGAGGCTTAGACACCTTGGGTCAGCCAGCTCGGCATAACTGTTTACAGGCAGCTCGTCACTCAAAGGACAGCCCGGCTCAGGGTAATTCGCAGAAGGGTAGTTCGGTATACCACAGGAGGGCTTCCTGCTCGACCGCCGTACCCGACAAATCTGTGGACAGCAGACATGTCCCTTGTCAGATAGCGCCGCGCCTGCCACCTTTAGAAAGGTGTCCTGCACCTGACAAGCACGTACCCTGCAATGACGGCCCCGCGCGTGCCACCTCAGCCTTGCCTGCAACGGCTGTGGCAGACTGACAGTGGCGGTTATACCTGCCCTGTCAGAAGCCAGAGGGCCTGAAGCGATGGAATTCAGTTATAAGGGGCTTCTTCTCAAGGAACGAGGTATCTTCGAATCACCTGTGCAATCTTCACTCTTAGCCTTCGTTTTCCCTTTGCTTCTCGCACAAAATACTGACTTAATCATCAGAGTGTTCCCACCGGGAAAACCCCGGGAGTTCTTCTTCCCTCTCGTTCCAAGTACCTCTCAGGAGCCACGCGAGTGCCAGGTAGGAGTGATCGGATCGCGCTACATCAATTGTTATTATAAATATTTTTAATAAATAGATATTTACTTTAATTTTACTTTAAATTAAAAATATAAATATTGCTAATAAATTTAGTAATTATTATTATATTAAAAATAATTAAAAATGTTATTAAAAGTATTGTTATTGATTATTTAATAAAATATTATAATTACTAACTATTACTGATAAATACTAATAATTTAATTTAATTTTGGTCATTATTAATTTAATGAATATTGTTAATAAATCCTATTCATAAAGTTAATAATTATTGTTATATTAAATTAACTAAATAATATTATTAAACTATCATTACTAATTATTTAATAAAATATTGTAATTACTTACTATTATTGATAGATGTTGTTAATAATTAAATATTTAATAAATAATGTTAACAACAATCAACAAAAATAATGTTTGTCTTTTTGCTTATTGAATTTCTTTGGTTTAAATTTTTGAGTTTTGTGCTTTGAAGATTGTTACATAATGTTAGTTAAAATTTCTATTTGCATTTAGCTTAATGAATTGCTTCAAGGTTCTAAATATTGACACGGGCCGATTCGCTATGCGTCGGTGCTTTTTTTTTTGTTTTTATGTTTTGCTTATTTTATTTTGAAATCAATTCAGAAGGGCTGGTTTTAAGGCCTGTCTACCCTTTGAACCAGTAGTGGCTGACCTAATACAACCTCTATAGGGGCATATCTGGAAGCCACCAACACGATACATATCGGCTGATATGGGCCGATACTTTGAACCTTGAATTGCTTTGGTTTACATTTATAGATTTTGTGCTTTGAATATTGTTACATATTTCAAGTTAAAAATATTGCTATTTGATTTTTTTTTTTAATTTGATAACTATTATACCTATAATTGTCAAATAATATAACAATAACAATTGTCAAATAATTATAAAATATAAATTAAAAGAAATTACCATTATTAGACATAAATTACCAATATTTATAAAAAAATACTAAAAATAAATCAAAAGAAATTATCCCAAATTAGTAGACATTAGGGTGATAATTACTTGAAATTGTCAAATAATATAATCCTAAACACATTAAAATAATTTGCCAAAAATTAACATAAATTAGTAGAAAATGTCAAAAAGTAGCCACTAAATTCCATAAAATTGATAAATTACTATAATTTACCAATAAACTATCATAAAATAAATATAATACATTATTATATATTTGCCAATAAATTAGTATATAATAGAAATTACCAAAAATTAGTAGAACTTAGCCAAAAATAACCACTAATTTCCATAAAATATTATATTTACCAAGAATTATCATAAATTATTATATAATAGAAATTACCAGAAATTAGTGGAACTTAGGGAAAAATAAACACTAATTTCCATAAAATATGATAAAATAGATGAAACTAGTATAACTTTATAAAAATAACCATTAAATTCAAAAAATCAGTAGAACTTAGAATGACAATTACTTCAAATTATCAAATAATATGAACCTAGATAAATACAATAATTTATCAAAAATTACATTTCGTTATCCCGTGCATCGCAGGGGTCCCCTCTAGTTTATAGATTAAAGGGGGAGTGAGCGATTACAATCAATTTCTGAATAAAAAGGAAATCGAACTGTAAGTAGCCACCATTTTTTTTTAATTAATAAATCACAACATTGGGATTATCGGCTCTAACAACCCTTGTATTATGCATAAAAAGACAATTTTACCCTTAAATTAATAAAAAGGCCAATTTAGACATTGGACTTAAAAAAAAGCCAACCATAAGCATTAACATCCAATGTTAGTGACGTCTTTTACAATGCATTGAATAAAATAAAAAAAACTATTTAATGTATAATTATACATACCCTTACAGGGGTAGCCGAGCCTTAAACCGGCCCCTTTAAATCATTTAAAAAATGTGAAACATAAAAAAAATGCACCGATACAGGCGGATACACCCCTCATATCGATATTTAGAACCTTGGTCTCATCATCTCCCATACTGTTATTTTTTCACAATACAGGGTGGGGATTTGCTCTAAGGCATTGTCGGAGGCAGATGTAAACTCATTGGTGTACACGATTTTCTCCGGCCCATCCTACTAACATGATCCGGTAGACTTATATGGGACCCGTTATATATGAAATGTGCGGTGTAAGGTTATATTGGTAGGGAGTTGGAATGAATTTATCGGCAGGCGCAGGAGATCCATACTCCGCTTTTTTAATCGCCTGATAAAAAATCGCGGTTATTTTTATTAATGCCGTGGATATATTCACATTTGGTTTTGTTAATGCCGGCCTTTTTTATTGATACTTCCGCGCAATCTGCATTATGCATCGGTTATTTTGGGGGTTTTGATCTTCGCGGGTTTGCTTACTCTCCCTCCCTGCTATCTGAAAACTTTTGTTTTCAAAAACCTGGGTAGAAGCTTCGAACAATCGAACTTAGAAGTTCAAACACCGCCATTTCTGCTTGGGATTCTTAAATCTCGGACGGCGTTAACATATAACGTTTGTTCTCGTTCATCTTCTTATTTAAGTCCGCAGATCTGCAGAACTGCTGCTTTCATGCTCGCATGTCCGTTAAGTTACTGATTTGAAGATGTTTTGGCGCATGACAGCTCTTTCCGCCTCTTCTCCTGTAAGCGAAACCCTATCTTTTTATATCTCTCCGTCGACAGTCTCAGCTGCTTGATTAGGGTTTCTGTCTGTCAATGGCAGTTACTTTTTGTTGTATAGTTTACTTGTGAAATTTATGATGTTAAGATTGCAAATTCTAAGCTGGTAAGCTCAAGCGTAATTGGAAAAACGGATAAGTATGCAGTTGTTTTGATATTATTTATGCAATTTTTTTAGCTGATAAGCTTCCGAGAGATTGCCAGTTGGATGCATTAGGGTTGAATTTGGATTTACTGCACTGGTTAGTGTTACTTATCGGTTATAGAGGAAGGGAATGTTTCTATTTATTCATTTATATGTTCTAACTTGCCACGTGGGTTGAGATTGAAAGTCGTGGAACTACCTTTCCCTTCACATGGACATTCTTCTTTTCATTTTTTTCCTAGTAGCAAGCACATTACCACTAGCACCCTTGTGTTCTTTTGCCTGTTAATCGTCTTGAACTTTTGAGGTAACTGTTGTTATTGTTCTCCCTTTTTGAGGTACTCGTTATGTTTTGTTTGGATGAACCGTTGGTCGAAATAGCAGTTATTCCCCCCTCCCCTTTTCTTTTCTTTTTTGGTCGTTCTTTGTTTTTTGGTCTCTGGTATTCGAGTTTACCAACACTTTTCATATTTTATAGGTGGAAGCAGTTTTAGACAAGGACAACTTCACTTTGGAAGACCTACTAGATGAGGAAGAAATAATACATGAGTGCAAAGCTTTAAACAGTCGCCTCATAAATTTGTAATATATTTTCTTGGTCACTTGTATATATGCAATATTGCAATTTTGAGTCTACCTTCTAAGAAATAATTAGTTTCTCTTTGGTTCTTTCCGTGTAACAATTCAATATGTTTTATGTGTGCGATAACTTTTTCTTTTGTCATTCATGCGCAACAATTAATTCTACTTGGTGTGTGTCTGTATGTAAAATTAGCAGAAATAGTTATTCATCTTTTTATTAAACCCAAAGCTTAAAGTTCAATGACCTAGTATTGGAAATGGATGGTGAAGTCTTCAAACGGAAATTGAGTATATGAAGAAAGTAAAGAAACAAATCCAACAAGGAAAAAGAATCTTTGTTGTAGTTGGACATAAAATGCATCAGAAGTGGAAATTCAATATCCAAAGAAGTAAGTTCAACCGAGATGTAAAATAAAATTGAAATGAAAAGTATGTAAAGAAAGAAAGAAAAAGAAAGCCCAATAAAGAATTGCAGATGCAATTCATTTTGGAAACTAACATTCTTCCCATATATCATAGACCTCAGTGAAGTTACTTTTGGGGTGGGACCCCAGTGGCACTTACAAGTCCCCCTTTTGTAGTCTGTGTGACAGAGCCCAGCTTGAGCAGTTGCTGTGCTATATTGTAGAAGAAGCTCCAGAGGATGCTGAAAGGAAACGTGCTTTCAAGTAAGCTACTTTGACTTGAAGGAAATAATTTCTACTAAGACTGCAGGTTTATTGGGTTTTGTGTTGTACGTATCCAAAGTACATATTTTCCTGCTGTTTTTTTTTTTTTTTGCTTTCCATGACATTATTTATTTCATGTTTTAGGTTTCCCTTCATTGCCTGTGAGATATTTATGTGTGAAATTGATGTCGTCCTTAACACCTTAGTAGATGAAGAGGAGGTATGTCTTTCTTTTATTCCTGTTTCTGCAAGCCATCTTTGTTTATAGAGGTTGCTTCAATAATAGCTCATGATTATAATTCAATTAAATTCTATGTGTGGTTGCAGCTCATGGACTTACTTTTCTCTTTCTTGGAACCAAATCGCCCTCATAGCACCTTGCTGGCTGGGTACTTCAGTAAGGTATACTTTGAGTCTCATTTATTGTTTGTCTGTTTATGTGATGTTTTTATGTGGGATTACTAGTTTACTAGTGTCTTTTCACTGTGGTATTCTAGGTTGTTGCGTGCCTTATGTTACGGAAGACAATCCCGCTTATGAATTACATTCAAGTAAGTATTGGCTTGGCTGTTACTGTTATAAACACTTTATTTCCTCCCTTTCCTTTTGTTATATAACCATTTCTTTTCAATAGAACTGGAGGTTGGATCACTGAAGCTACCAGTTCATGGTCCTGTCATTTGACCATTCAGTTTGAGCAGCTGTACCTGTTTAAGCCTCTAAGGTTAAAAAAATTGAAAGCACTAACATTTCCACTGTCTTTGTGCCTTTGTGTTCTGTGAAAGTAGACAACTTTGATTAACATTTGAAGGAAGAAGAGAGTATAAGCACCTATAAATTTTCCTTTATTTCACCTTGCTGCCACTTCCTGTTTACTCAGACTAGTGCTTGGCACTTATTGGGTTAAAACATTACAAAAGGGTGGAAAAAGTATAAAAAGAGGAAATAGGGAATGAATGGTTTAGTGCAGGTATGAGGTTGTCCTACTGGTTTGAACTGTGGTGGGCCAGAAGAGGGTTTGGATCTGGAAGATTGGAATAGATAGGATAAAATCAATTCAGGTCTGCACTGTAATTAGAAGAAATAGAAAGTAAGATATCTCAGATCTGTGTGCTTGAGAAAGCAAAGGGACCAGAAGACCATAGAAGCAGAAATAATTGAGGGTCTGTTTTAGAGAAGATTCCAGCAAAGAGGACAGAAGTCAGAAGAGAAGTAAAGAGAGAGAAGCCGAAACATACTTGTGCAGTTGTGTGTGTGTGTTTCCTCTCCGAAATGCAACATTTCTTTCAAACAAGCGATCAGGACCTAAACCATTCTCCGTCTTTGGCTTACACATTGTGCTTTTTTCTCCAACACATACTTGTGCAATTCTGCTCTCTAGTGCTCTTCCTGTCCTTGGAGCTCAAACCTTATTCTTGATTTTCTAAAGCATAAAAAACAGAGGTCATTGTTTTTCATTTTGGCAAAGGTCTATTTATATTTCAATTTGTCATGGATGATTTGACTAAACATTTTTTTTAAGACCTAAGGGTGAGATCTGGCTCCAGATCATGGGGAAAATTTGCCCATATTCCAATTCAAGATTGAGTAGCATATGGTTGAAAGAGGCTCTCTAACAGGGAGGTGGAAGATGTTTCGAGGTAGATCTCTTCGGAAAGATCAGGGAGGTGGAAGGAGATGGGAAGCTAGGAATTGGTACAGGGGTGTAGAGAAGGGGGCGAGGAGGAGACCGAACTTCTCTTACAGTAAGGCGGTTACGACTGGAGTTTGGTCGAATTTTGGGCAGTCTGAAATCAAGAAGGTGGAGGATAGACAAATGATATTTACAAAGTCCCAAGGCGTAGAGGCCAGAAGGAGATTCCTGAGAGATTGCTTGGTGGGAAGATTTCAATGGAGGGTAGGTTTTCAAGAAGTGGAAAAATGGGTAAGTAGATGTTGGGAGGAGTGAAAGTAAAGAAATTATCCGATGACCTCTTCCTGTTCATATTCTCGTTGAGATCAGCGGCGGCTTGGATCCTTAAGCAGGTCCATGGAAAATGGGGAGAAATCATCTCTTTTTGGACTAGTGGGGGGCAAGCGCTGGCTGCTTCTATCCAGAATCAAGCAAAGATTCAGACCGTTCAAAAACCATCTGGGTGAGGGTGTATGGTCTTCCTCTGATACTGTGGTGCTCAAGTGTGATCAAGAACATAGGGGATGCTTGCGGTGGTTTTGTGGAAACCGACGACTCCCCTGAGGAGCTTTCAACCTGTGAGTGGGTTCGAATGAAGGTGAAAAGGTCCGAGAAGATTCCTGAAAAAGTGGAGGTTGTTTTGGGGGAGACGATATTTGAAATCTGTATTTGGCTTGAGTTGCTGCCGACGGTCCGAAGTTGGATGCAGGAGATTCATGAGAACAGTCAGTTCCGATTGCAGGGAAGGAGCTCGGAAATCTCTAACACGGTGGTCTTAGAAGATGAGGGAGAAAGCTCATTGCCGCAAGAGTAAAATAAAAGGTCATTGAGTTTCAAACCGCCATTGAGTAGCTCGCCAGAGGTCGACGGAGGGGAAGAAGATGGTCGTGGGATCAATCTGATCCATCCACAAGCAGTTCCGCTGGACGGTCAGGATCATCCTCAGGCTGAGTGCTTTGAATCTTGCACGCCAGAATTAACGAAGGGAAGAAGTGGGGATTTTCCGAGGGTGGAGGATTTAAAAACTCTCATAAAGCAATGCATTAAAGAACTACACGCGGAGTCGGACGTGGAGGTCTCGAGGTTTAGGGGGAGGGAGGCTCGACAAGGGGCCGGATCGGATTCCAAGGAAGATGAGGAGATTCAGATTTGGACTCAGGTTCCGGATCCGGGTCAAGCTAGATTTAAGTCCTTGCCTACCCGCCCGCTCTACTCAATTGGCGAAGAAACTTGAAGGTAAAAAGTTTTTTAGTGAGCCTTGGTGGCCCACTGGTAGACAAACAAATTATGGTTCGGTTTGGTTGGAACCGGCCTGGGTTAGTCTGCCATCCAAACAACAGTTGAATCCAAGTGATGGTTCTCCTCTAGCCCACATTCCTAGCCCTGATAATATGGTGATGGGTGATCTGAGTCAGGCTGCTACTTCATCTCAAAAAGGTCGGTCTTCTTCAAAAAGTGCGTGTGAGATGGACAACAGGCGGCAACAAAGTCAAGAGCTGCCTCTGGTGCCAGTGGAAGAGATAGTGGAAGAGACCCCGTTGGTGGCGACCCCTATTGCGATGGTGGGTAATGAGGTTCATAGTGGGAATGTGGGAAATTGTCTTGATCAATCCAAAGAGTTGGGAAATAGCGGTGTAAGCCTCAAGCAAATGAGGAGAAGCAACGGAAAAGTCTTGATAGGAAACAAGGGGAAAGCAAGTTCATCAGCCGCGGAGATAGGCAAGGACAGTAAGTCTGAAAATAATCAATCTTCTTGGGTGACATCGAAACTTCTGGGGCTGGGGACTTTCCTGGGAATTTCGATAGAGGGGATGGAAGCTGATACTATTAAGTTCTTGGAAGGAATTGAACAAAGAGTGCTTATGAAGAGGGGAAAATTGACGGCAAAAAAAGGGGGATTAAAAACAAAGAGAAGCAGAGAAATGATGAGATTAACTTGAGGTTTGAATGATAAGGCGGGGAGCAGTTAAGGGGCTGCAAGGGGGTCTAAGGAGATGTGAGGTGTGGGTCCTTTTCTTTAGTTTTTTCTTATGGAAGTGAAAATTCTTTCCTGGAATGTTAGAGGGCTGGGGTCGGGAAGGAGGAGGATGATGGTATGTGATTCTTTGAAGCAATCGAAGTCAAAGATTGTCTTGCTCCAAGAAACTAAGCTGGAGTGGGTTGATGTTGCTACAATTCGAAGTGTTTGGGGAGAGGGTCAGGTAAGATGGAAGGCCTTGGCTGCCTTGGGGAGTGCTGGTGGAATTGTGAGCCTTTGGGACCCCACTTTCTGTTCTTTGGTTTCTTGTAGAATTGGAAATTTCTCAATCACTCTGAGACTGAAACTACAAGATGGAAAACTTATTCAAGTCACAAACGTTTATGGTTCTGTTGATTCTAATTTTCGGGTGGCTTTTTGGGAGGAATTATCAGATTTGAGAGACCCTCAAAAGTGTCCTTGGGTAATTGGGGGTGACTTTAATGCAACTATTTCGGTGGATGAGAAGAATACAGGGGGTAGAAGAACTGGTTCGATGAACATGTTTGCTGACTTCTTAAACAATATGGAATTAATGGACGTCCCAATTCAGGGTAATAGATTCACTTGGACCAATAACCAATCTGTCCTGACCCTGGTTAGGCTGGACAGATTTTTGGTTTCTTCAAACTGGGATGAATTCTTTCCTGATTTCAGACAGCTTACCCTTCCTAGACTGATGTCTGACCATAGCCCTATTCAACTTGTTTGTGGTCTCCGTGAGACAGTCAAATCCTCGTTTAAGTTTGAAAATGCTTGGTTTGAGGAGGAAAATCTTATCCCCTTAATCAGCTCTGTGTGGAATGAGTTGCAAGTGGAGGGCTCTAGTTCTTTCGTTATGGCATCAAAATTTAAGGTTGTCAAGGGTAAACTAAAAATTTGGAGCAAGGAGAAGAATATGAAGTGGGTTACTGATAAGAAGGCTTTGTTCAGCACCATCGTAGAGATTGATAGAGCTGAAGAGGTGTTGGAAAGGGATGATGAGGATTATTCCTTGTGGAATCCGTCAGAATCTTTCCTATTTTTTTAGTTTTTTATTTTGTTATTTAGGCTGTGATTTAGTTTCCTTTTTTTCTTTAGGCTAATTAGTGGGTTAGTTTCCTAGAATAGCTCCTAGATTGATTCTTAGAAGTTGTATATATTTGTACAGATCTTCTCAATGAAATTAGAACAAAAATCTTCAACCATTTGTTTCTGTTTTCATGGTATCAGAGCCTGCGACAATGTCTGGAATGAGCCATTCTTCATCAACAGTGGACTCGACAGCAGTAGATTCAGCAATGAATGCATTGAGATCCCTTGGAACCTCCTTCACCACCTCTGACATAAGCCATTCTCTGCAGATTAACCAACACAAATTAAATGGGTCCAATTTTTGTGAATGGTTTCAATCCGTTTTGTTAGCGATTCGAGGAAAAGGAAAAGTGGGTTACCTTACTGGTGAAATCCCTCCTCCAGCGAGCAGTGATGCGAGTTACAAGACATGAGAAGCTGAAAATTCCATTGTCATGGCATGGTTAATCAATTCCATGGAGCCGCAAATAGGACGCACGTATCTGTTTTACAAGAATGCTCACGAAATATGGAAGGCTGTTCAGGAGATGTACTCAGATCTTGGAAACACGTCTCAGTGTTTTGAAATTCGTTCTCTCCTGCGGAACATAAGGCAGGGATCAATGTCAGTAAC